TTTCTTTTCTAGGCCTGATATCACTATATATAGTTATATATATATATATATATCTTTTGCTAACTTTTGGATAACTAGTTAACTATCATGTTATTTAGTTAGCTAATATAGAAATTGTCATTAACTGCTTTTATTAGACTTAGGGTATAGCCTTTGTGCTTTTGTTATGTTTTAATATTAGATTTTTGAAAGGGGATAGTTTCACTCTCTCTCTCTCGCTGTATGTTGTATTGGTAGTTATACACTGAATTAACCGCTAACACATTAGACTTGAGCCTAGCTACAGTCACTCACGACTGGGTTGTACGGTCGTAATTTCTTTTTTTTTAAATAAAAAACCAGGTCTTGAGACTGTTGATTTTCATTTGTTTGCGTGGAATGATTCATAAAATAAATCCTAGAAATGAATATTGAGTACGTGCTATGATTGATACTAAATGCGAGCCGTGTTACTTTGTACCTTTTTTTTTAAATACTTCTCTTTTGTGTTCATATCTTTTCCTATAGTCATAGACATTTTCACAGTTACCAACAACTATCAATAATTTCTTCAACTCAACATACATGTGCCAGATACATTCCGTCTGCTCGGGTCATATCTTAACTATCCAACGTCTTCACGATCTTTGATATTGAAATCCTGATGCGTTTTTATTGAACTGGTAGTACGAACTTAGGTCTATGAATAACGCACAGATGCTCGGTGTATAGTTATGTTATTGTGACCCGTACTTCAGCTATGTGATACTGTAGTACAAACAGCATAGCTTGACAAAAGTCAAGTATATGAATGATATTCCTATCTAGCCTGTTTCCCGAAGAATTGAAAAAGGACATATAGCTTCAGAGATGTAAGAGTGTTATTTCAATTAATTTTTTCTTTCACTATCTACGCGCAGCACTGTATTTCCTACAACCCGTGATATTTACAAGAACAACCAACACGGTACTCACCGTCTCAATTAAATACGATAAAGACTTCTTACAGTTCGAATATCGCGCATCGAAAAGCTATCCATTCTTGGATAAATACAACGTTTACGTTTTCACTTACCGAAAAAAAATACCGCTCGCAAGGGAATCTCCAAGAAAAAAGATGAAGATCTACATGATTCCAAGACGATACTAGTATACTTACATACTCGCATCCAAAACGGGTATCCGAGAATACCGAAGATCAACATTCGCATGTACCGAGTACCGTAACGCTTCTGCTGTGTAGTAGGTTAACCCCACCCACAATGCTGACTTCACCCGTCGAGGTCGCCGTCAAAGATACCCAAGATTTATCCGCGTCATCGATTCTCTCTCGCTCTCGCTCTCCGAGGAGGCAAGCGAGCCGGCGCCCGCATACCGAAACGCAAAAGACCAGAACCCCCTCGCCCAACGCCAATAATACAGTTTAGTACGCGAAGTGGGCCAACAAAGTATACGATCCAGCCCCGAGTAAACAAGATTCGGGCGGGGAAGAGGTGCGGGGAGGAAGGTAAGAGAGGGGATGGAATGATGGTTCTTAGCCAAGGCTGTCAAGGATGATTGCGTGGGAAAGTCATACGGGAATGGAAATACCACATAAGTAGGTAAACGCGACAAGTTCGGAAGACGAACCCCCATCCGCGGTCTTGGGATTGAATGGTCGAGGCCATATCTTGGGGAGTTGATGAAGAAGCGCCGGTCGCGGCAAAGTGGGGGGGAAGATAGGCTGAGGTAATACGTACGATTACTGTAGGTATGGCAGTACATGGTACCCGAGGTTGTGTGCGTATGTCAATGTAGGACAAACCCTCGTACTCGGTCCACAGAGGCATTCCCACCCAGTCAAGAGCAGGTTGGCCGAAAGCGTGATGCGCCGAGTGGCCTTTTTGTTTGGTGCATGGTGCGAGAACACATGTTCAACAATGTGGGCGACGCGGGCGGCACGGGGGGGGCCATGTTGTTAGTATGTACGTATCTACTAGTTACGTATGTATGTATTGCTGACTGTATATCACTATAATCTCACAGAACAGGGGTTTTTGCTTGCGGGTGCCAGCATGCTATCTTGGGAGCGAGGGGAGGTGAGATTGCGTGTTCGTTGATGCAGATGCGCTGGCCAACTAGTCCTGTGACTGACTTGGGTACATGTCGTTGTGTGTTGCCGTGAACAGTCAACGTTCAAATCTTATTTGCAAATGCCTGAGCCGTGGCTTGGGCTGAGGTAAAGCGGAGGGGGTACCGACGTGTTCGATTGGTGCAATTGATTTGCGGTGTGCTCGTAACCATGTACATGCGTAGGATCAAAGAGGTAGCTATGACGAGATGCAGTGGTAAGATGCAACCAGGGTGGTTGAATTGGCTTACCTTTGTGCGACCGGGGGATGTGTGGGTGTGTGGCCTCACCAAAAGATACATAGTACAGACACGACGACATCTGCCGACATAACCACTGCAAGCCACTGATAGACGTGGTGTAGCGAGGGGGGAGAAGCTAGGTGCTGGCGTTGGGCGCCAGGAATTTTGTGTACCATGGTGAGGGCCAGGCGCTGGTGGTCGCAGTAGCAGTAGCAGTAGCAGTAGCATGTGCATGTGCATAGCAATAGTGACACTCGCACTCGCCAGGTTGGCGAGTGGGCACTATTTTGGGAGCGAGGCGGAAAAGAGAAAGGAAGCGTTGGTTTACTCTACACCTAATGCTAGCAGGTGGCCACAGTGTGTGTGTGTGTACTATCGATAGAGGGCAGGCGGCACCGACGATAATCGGGCCACTTCCGAAACTGTATGCATGATTGCATGCGGCTCCCCTGGGGCAGAGTGGCGTCGCCGCCGTGTTTGGGAAAGAGACCATCAAGCTACCGCGATATTACCTACACAGCATGTACACACATGGCAAGTGCTCTGCAAAATGAAGCGTCAGCGCACCTCCAACTCGTGTCCAGGCTCGGATCATACTTAATCATGTAAGTACAGGGTAGCGAAACGAGGCCGGACACCGTGCAGCGCAGGGCGAGGGTACAGGGCAGTATACAAGAGCAGTACATGCCTGCTGGGCGCCGGGGCAGTGGGATGTATGGGATCGACGGCGGAAATTTCTCCTGGCTGGTGCGACCACCGATCGAGTCGTGACAGCGTTGCGGGACTGGCACGCGAATTGCTACAGGGCTACAGGGCTCAGGGAACACCGGATCGGACGAGGCCTCGGTTTGTGCAGCCCAAAAGGGTGGCCCACGACGCTGCTGGATTGGGCGCCAGTCCAAGACATCCAAGGAGATCACCAGGGTGCTAACAGGTTACCGAGGATGCTAATACACATGGGACTATGACCATATGTACGTGTGTACCTGGATGTGAAAGTCAGCCCTGGCTGATCGCACCCAGGCCTGCCAGTGGGGAGAGTTTTGCGCAGGCCCCGGGACAAAACATGTCTGGTCTGGCTGTTGACGAGCGAGCGAGGACAAGGGACTACACATAAGTATATGTGTGTGTGCTGCATGTCGATTATACGATAAGGACCGAATCAAGACGTGCGTGAAACGCTGGCAGAGACGACTTTGTAAAGCCATGCGTCGTGAGGATAGGGAACATGTCCACCGGCTAATACTGTCTCGTGCGCCTGGACCCCCAGCCTGTTCCTGTCAGTCAACGACTAGTAGAGTAAAATGGCTGGCTGCGGGACAAATTCTCCTTTCCGATAACACAGTCGTAAACCTCATTCAGGCCGGTCGACATAGCCACAAGAGTCAGCGGCACACTACCTGCTCTGGAGCCAAGCGGCTTCGCGGGCGCCCTTCCAGTAGTCAGGGCGAAGATCCACCAGCACAAAAGTGTTCCACGTGTGGACAGGGTTATCTCTCGCAGCTGCTGATCCTTTTTGAGAAAGCCACCCTGGCCATTCGCTTCCACTAACATGGACTTCCGCTGCACACTGCAGTAGCGCACTCGAAAAGGGAAATGCCAGAAGCCGTTCAGACCCACCTTCCCAGCTCCCCGCAAGCAATCACCTTGCCATCACAATTTGGACAAAGTTTTCTGTGGAGAGAGGTCTGTCCACCACCTGTCAGGTAAGGGTTCACACACTGGCAGCCTTGGTCTTGGTAGCCGAAAAAAGACGGTTTTGTTTGTTGATCGAGGCGCGCGGGGTGGTGCAACGGACAAAAGTATGTTCGCATGCGACCATGTGTGTGAGATGTATGGTTCTTTTGGCCTTGCAGCGCAACGAGGCTCAAAGCAGACTGGCTTGTCGAGCTGGATGAGTATATGCGTACACTCGGGCAGTTTGTAGGTACCGCAATGGTAAGTCAGTTGGGCCAGTCAGCCAATCAATCAGGCCATATCAGCATGGGCTGAAGATCACAAGGTTTGAGAGCTCTCATGTTGGCAATCTGCAATACCAAAGCTTATGGAGCAGCAGGTTTCAGACGACAACAAAGTCTATGTACAAGAGTGCTGCTTGAATCTTATCTATTAAGGAGCGTCATTGTGACGACGATGGGCAAGCGCAAATCGTCTGTGCAAACAACGTACGTCCGTAAGTAGAGTATGTACGCACCCAATGCCAACAAGCGGCGTCGCGTGGCTTTCGGCTTGTTTTTCCAGGGAGGAAAAAAGAAAAGACAGGACGGGGATGCCCTGGGCGATGTCTCAGGCTAAGTGCGATGCTTCAGCCCCTTGCCCAACTATCGACAAGGGAACCTTTTTGGCGACAGCCAATCAGCGGCGCAGCGAGCAGGGGATTTACTGCTTCATAGTCGCTGGCATAACGGCTGCATTCTGGCCGATGTGCAAAGTGCCAGCGTTACGGCGTAAGCCTGAAAGCGGATAAGAGTTTCCTGGCCAGCTCATCGCCCTAGCCATATTGTGGGCGCGACATGACGCAGAAGCGCAGAAACAGGTCTCATGGCCGATGGGGCGGTATGTGGGCAAAGGTTGGCACGACAGCAGTGCCAGCGAGGCGCATCGGACGAGAGATAGAGGGAGAGTGTGTGCGTGTGCGTACGTGTGTTGTGGACGTGTAGACGGCTACGTGCAGGATCCGTGAGTTTGGAGGCGCGGAAGGCTGGGAGGGTTCCGGTAGCTTGCAATGGCGACGCGTCTGACGGCGCAGCGACCAGGTCGCACTGGCACGCAGGAGCGACGCAGGCAGGTTCCGTGTCGGTGTGCGGTGCAACCTGTGGGAAGAATGCTACATGGGTCGGCGACTCAGCGGCTGCGATCGTCTTCCAAAGCATTCGAGAACAAAACAGCCGAGCTGGGACGAGCATTTGTGTGTGTGTGACGCGGGGCGCGCAGAGGGAGCCGGGCATCGCTCTCATTACGGAAAGCGGGAGCCTTTTTTTTTTTGCAGTGGCTGGGAGGAGGGATTGGGGGGGTGCACGCCATGACGGCGAGTAAGAGTCAGGGTTGGAGAGAGGGTGGTAAGAAGGTTGAAGGGGGCGTCGAGGGTTTGCTTTATGCGGCACAGTTGTTATCTAAGTATGATATGAACAAATGTACACTAGGATGGTGGTTAGACGAAGGGGGGGTGGTGCGGGTGGGTGTTGTGTGTGTGTTGGAGAGAGGTGAGTGGGTGGTGGGCAAGGCAGGAGCGATCCCACGTGGCGGAGCGAGACACGGGCGATACGGCAGACGAAGACGGAGACGGCAGCGGTTTAGGGGATCAATTGGGACACACATCCATCCTATCCTCACACATACTGTGGCCGTACAGGCTACACAGGGAATGGCGCGCCGCCGGCCACGATGCCTGTCGCAGGCTGTCCCGTCGGTGGCCACCCATTCATTCTGCCAGGACGACACTGGAACTCCACTGCGTTCCCGGCGACCAGTCACCCGGCTGCACGGAAGCACATACACGCGCGCGCCCATGGACACACATATTCATTCGCTCAGTGACACACACATGCACACAATTTGATACTTTGGTGGTGGACAGAGAGACTCGACGCTAGCACTCGCCCACACACTTTCTCACATACACCCGACGAGCCCTTGCATCCACACAGGGCTGCCCAAAAAAAAAGAGCGAGCAGCACAGAGGTGATTCAGGTAAAAGGCCGCGGACCGCACCCGGGGAAGGACTCCCGAACGCCCGTGAGGCGTGTGAACCTTTTCTCGTTGCTTCTGGAGCCAACAAGAGGAGGCGGCACAGCGAGTCAATGCCAGGAGCAGGCCTTCCTACACGACTCTGGGCGGCGGCGGCGTCGTCACACCCAAGCGCGGGCGGGCAAGGGCGCACTGTTTGTGAGTAAGGGCATGGCTAGGCTTGTGTGTGTATGGGTGGGTGGGTGAGAGGGTGAGAGGGTGGCGGCAGAGGAAGCAAGCAAAAGAGGCAACGACGGCAGCCGCCCTGTGTAGTAGGGTAGTGTGTGAGTGTGCAGGTGGGTGTGCCCGGGCAAGTTGGGCCGACACAAAGGAAAATAAAATAAGATAAAAAAAAAAGTCCAGAGTTACTGTGAGTACATGGTAGTATACACGACCATTACCTTCACAGCCGGGTATGTACACAGACAGACGGGGGCAGGTTGCAATGCCGGCGGTCAGCAGGCCCTAGACAGCACTTAGTAGGCTACTGAGAGTGCCAGCGCTCGTCGCAGATGCCACGACGGCTGACCCCCCCAGTCCAGCCGTTGGCGTGGCTCTTCCTAGCGCTGCAGGTACGGCCTTCTAGCGTGCCGCTACCACAGGGGGCATACCACCTCCGTGGATTCAGCGCGCAGATCACCCTGCTCCTTGCCCGCCCAAGGGAGCTACCATGAAACAGGCCGAAAGACCCGTCGCTCCCGGAACGTCATGTAGTCAGGGCGTTTTGCTTCCTGAAAAGCACAGTCGCTCATTTCATTTGTCTCGCCGACGAGCCAAGGCCACGTCTGGCAAGTCAGTAACAGGCCCCCTTATTCTAGCTGCGAATATAGAAGGCTAAAGGCGCCCGGTGGATTCACTTCTTACACACTCATCACCTTCACTCCCTTCCAGCTATCTACACTCATTCTTCTCTCCTTGCCCAGTCACTGCCCGGCCAGTCCACTGCATCTCCTCCACGCTACCTAATCCACCTCCCTCGACATCCAATCCGCTTGCTGCATCTCGTCCACCTCGTCGACTCTTCTCCTCCTCTCGCCAGTCTCCATCTGCCAGGGCTCTATTAGCACTGGCCAACTGTTCAGCCCTCGCTGACAAGCTGTATTCCTCAATCTGTACGTTGCCCTGCACACGCATCTGCGCCCTGCCTACTACCTGACACGGCTCGTGCAACAAAGACGCTAATACCTATAAAGCACACGACACACTCATCAACACCATGATCGTCAGAGAATCAGAGTCCAACAACATGGGACGCGGTGCTTACGACACGACTGGCACTCCCCAGCCGTCGCCCACCACCACGCCACCCTCCAAATAAGACACTCGTCATGGCATCTCAACGGACCAATGCTTTTTCCCTCCTTCCTGCTCCTTGCTTTTCATGGCTTGCATCAACGCCCTGCAATCTCATCCAAAGCATCGTGGTCCTGTTGGGACCCGATCGATAGCACCTTGCGCACTGTACGTCACACCTGCCTCGATCAATTCCCAAGTCACATCAGCTTACACCCACTCCAGTCTCACTTCCAATTGCTCGCCAACGCCATTACGACCGAGCACTTCGCTGGTCACACAGCGCCTTTGCTTCCGAGCCTTATCGAGATTACGCCCTTTTAATCACCCGCAACCCTTCCGATTCCATTCTTGACAGCGACCTAATACCCCCGCTTCCTCGGTTCCTGTTTCGCGTTTTCGAGCGCCTCTCACTCTTCTCCCACGTTCAGCGACACTTTCTTACGGCAAAAAAGTACCTCTTTGTTTCACACGGCGTTCTTATAGACATGGTTGGGCCCAGGCATAGATACCAAAAACGGACTTGATCTTCTTTTTTTCTTTTTTGTCCTGCTTCGAGGACAAAATACACACACGGTTAGATATCCATTGTCTGCCTTCAACGGCACTTTGTAGACATGGACTGTATTGTACTATAGCACGTTCGGTTTGGGACTGCGGCATTTGCCTGCATTGCGCGACGATTCTGCGTTTCGCCACAACGCTCTTGACGAAGGGCATGTGTTTGGCCGCTACCCATGGATTTTTTCTCTATCACTCTGACATTTAGAACGACTGCCTGGGCTTTGGTATCAGTGTCTCACAACACTACCGGCATCGGTTTAGACTAATCAACAATGTACTACTACTACTACTATAAACTACTTGCCGCACTATACATGCAATGATGACTTGTCCGCGCTGTCATGTGTGAGTGTGACCCGCTTGAGCGGAACCCCTACCCTTGCCCTAACCCTCTCTGGCCATGCAGTGAAGCGACAGACCATGTCAAGGACCCGATGCTGTCTTGTTGTGCTGAGTGGTGGCGGCCACGCGTGGCCCAAGAGTGGAGACGTGGCGACTGCACCCCACGAAGTCGGCGTCCCGATTTGCGTCCAGCTCACCGCAAGCTCCACCAGCCAGCACGACGTCTTGCTGTATCGTCAAACACCGCCATCACCCCGCCCCCAACACTCGTCTCTCCAACTCCAACCCCCCCAAAAAAACTTTCGCACCTGACCTTAGCTCTCTTCCGACACTGCCGCTTTCACCATGGCTACCGTCAATTGGCGCACCATCAACATTGATGCCCTAGACCCGGACAGCCCCGCCAACTTTGACCTGAGCTCCCTCGTCCCAGCTGTCGCGCCTGTGTCGACAGCCGACGTGCAGAACAATGCGCAGCAGATACGGCAGCAGCTGCGGGGCGGAGACAATGAGGGCGCTTTGCAGAGCGCATTGGAAAATCCACCATATGGGGCTGATGACAAGGGAAAGGTATGTGTGCTGATGCTGTCACCGGTCTTTCTCATGGCTGGGCCGAGCACCATTGAGCAAATTCAATGTGTCTGACTGCTGCACAGGAGACTCACCTTGCCGTCGTCATTGAGATACTGCAGTCGATAAGACAATCGGACATGTCACCAATCCTTAGTCGGATATACAGCTCGCCCAGCGGAACAGAGGCGCTGGACGTCTTGATGAAGTACATGTACGTGGAGTACTACACACACAAACAGGATTACACATACGCACACATACACAACCCACACAACCTTTGGCACAACAACTGACTGTCCTTGCTACAGCTACAAAGGCATGGCCCAATCGACGCCAGTGGCCACTACGCGCAACATCACGCCTCAGCCCACGGGTTTCTCCCAGATCCACGCCCGTGGCGGTGGCGAGGGCGGAGGCCAGGCCATGAGCGTACTGCTCAGTTGGCACGAAAAGGTAGAAACTGTCGCGTCCTGACTATTGTTTGACGCCCATGCACTAACAGCCGGTAGCTTGTGGATATTGCTGGCCCTGGCTCGATTGTTAGGGTCATGGCTGATCGGCGTACGGTCTGAACTGGTGGTCCCACGATGGCACCTTATGATGTGCTCCAACACGACAAGCTCGAGCGGCTAAACTCGAGCCTAGTCGACGCAACAGCCCTCGTTGACAGGGAGACGCTCTCGGCTTTGGTCAAGAGCAAGATCAAAATGCGAACTGTTCGGCATGGCATGACACGCTGTGCTCTGTCTCTCTCCAATTATCTCGCCATGTCGCCGTATGCACCCTGTATAAGTCCCAAGTGACAGTGCACAAATTTGGAGTCACGACATATTGAAATGATAATAATAATAATCATTATCAGGCACCGTTTGTATTTTGGCAAGTCTTGCTGTTGGTGCGTGGCAAGCATGCAGGACCCTGCACAAATGCGTGAAATATGCAGCCGCACTGACACGTCTCTTTTCTACCGGCCTCGCAGACGGCTTCTTCAGCCCTATTATGACACACGGCCACGTCGCTCCCCCAACGCGACGAGTCTTCATTTCGCGGACACGGGAAGTCACGATGCTAGCGTGCGCCTTCATCATAAGGGGCCGCCCACTCGACCACGCGGCATAGCTTCCACGCGAAGCCCACTAGCGCCGTGTCCGAGCGCCTTCTTCAGCTGCCACAAGCGGAAAAGACCTGATGAACGCTAGTCTTGCGTTGGGCGCCGTTGCGAGATGAAACACGCTCCCTGGTGCCCGTCGATTCCTTTCCTTTTTCCCATTACCACCCACCCCGACATTGAAACAACGGACAGCCGACCGAGGTTAAAAACAACTTGTCCAAGACTACTCTATTCCAAAAGTAAACCTGTTCGTCTCTCCTTATCAATTAGCCATCTGCAAGTATCCCAGAGAAAAAGCAGTACAGTGTTTTTGTCCCGTCCGACGCGCAGCTTTCATCGCCACGAGAGGCCCATGTCCCGATTGTAATTTTCCCGCCTGCAGGGCAATCGTGGTCACGGGTAAGTATCGATGCGCAAACAGGCTTCTGGAAGGCTAATTTCGGCTTCTTTCGTCGTTTCCACCATAGGGCTGTATGAGCATGTTTTTAATAAAAAAAACCCGCCTATCCTCCCACCCACCCAAAGTGGATCACTCTAAGTTAAAATCACTTCTCCCGTCACATGTTACCTCTATGAAGTAAAATCACTCTACTGTAGACAAGACCACTTGCAC